AACACTAGCACGGTAATGGCTACTGAGAATCCCCACTACAATAACACTGCACTACTTCTAGCCACAGAATATGAGGACGACCTACCTTCGTTATGACACTTATGAGAAATGAGGATCTTATGAGAAATGAGGATGTTAAATCTTCTCTTTTCTATTAGCAAAGATAATACAGACCGTTAATTTCATACTAAACCAATCATGGTTGCATAACTAACGATGAGTCAGCAAAACTACTAAAGGCCTTAAAATCATAAATTTTCATTTTTTGACACAGTTCAAGGCTGAATCTTGTTGTTATTTATTGTTGAATCTCCTGTTTTTGCTCATAGTTTTTGAGATTGAAACTGCAATTTCTAGTGCTTGTTCATTCATAAAATTTGCTTAATGCTATCTATGAGCTAAACCAGTTGCATATTTTTAGCATATAATTTGAAATTGCAACGAAAATTTGAAACAGTAATTTATGCTTAATTAGTAGTAGACCTATTATGCTTGAATTTCCTTTGTAATATTTTTTCTGCTATTGATGGCATTGTGCAATATTACTGTATATTTGGTGTCAAATTGTTGATAATGCTGTCTGTCTATTCTCTATAGAGTTAAATAGATTTAAATAGAGTTAAATAGATGTGAAAATGAGTGAAACACTTTTGAGTTGATGCATTCATCTGTTAGCAGTAAAATTTATCACTTCACAAAGTGATAAGAAAATTAGCTGTTTTTGTTTTTCAGATTTGTAAGTCACTGTTGTTTCGAAATTTATTTACTGTGAACCAGTATATGTGTTCTTTCCATGAAGTTTAGGTTTTTAGTGGTTGCAATATAGCAGTGAGGGGACTTGCCATTACAAGTAAAGCAAAATTGCGGAAGGAGGTTACTTCATTTTTCAGCTACGCTTCTGCACGTATTGCGAACACTTAGTTGTTGCATGCTCAGTTGTGTATCATGTTTCTCATCTTTAACAGTAGAGAGATTTTATAGTGAACTGCAGAGACGGGATCTCGATTATTATATTGCAGGATATTTTCAATTTTGATGCTGCACACTTTGCGTAATCGTTAAAACGTGAAAAACGTTTATCTCTCCTTGATGCACCAAGGGAAAGTGAATAATTCAGAAGTACTCGCATATATTATTTCTTAACAAAATCTAAATTGTCCACCGAATGTTTTTGGACAAGGTTCATTAAAAGTATAAATGTAGTTATTGTCTTCCATCCTTCAAAAATGATGAGTTTATTGATTAGTTTATGATATGCAACTGACAACTGATTACTCAGATCAACTTTCTGAGTTTTATACTGTTATTTCGGCTGAACGTACTAATTGTGCAAATGCTCTATCCTTGTTATAATTCTGATTGCATAATGTAGTGATATTATTTAAGGATGTTTCTGACAAGAAGTGAATATGATCGAGGTGTCAACACTTTTTCTCCTGAAGGGCGTCTTTTTCAAGTGGAATATGCAATTGAGGCAGTGAAGGTGGTTTATAATAATTTTGATACCAAAGAGTTTTTTATCGTGACCTGATATTGTGCTTTCATCGTAATTGGTTACGATTTTAGTTAGGTTCAACAAGTATTGGTATTCGAACAAATGAAGGAGTTATTTTAGCGGCAGAGAAACGTGCAACTTCGAAGTTGATGGTAAATGATGCCATTGAAAAAATTTCCAAAGTTGATTCGCATGTTGGTAAGTTGGTTTAAAATGGACAGCTTTCCAAAATTATGCTTCTCTTCTTAAAATGAAGACTCAGATCTCAGTATGGCTGAAAAACTTCATCATAATTTGTAGCTGTAACATTTGCTGGTCTCATCGCGGATTCAAGAACTTTAGTAGAACGAGCACAAGTTGAAGCCCAGAACTTCTGGTTCACATATAACAGAAAAATACGCGTGGAAGATGTGACCATGTCAGTTGCAAATTTAGCATTGCAATTTGGTGACGATGACGTCAAGGTTTACTGTAATTATTTTAATTTGCTCTAAATTATTAGATGGTTACATTTACTTAAGATAAATGCTCTTTACCTTATCGAAAAGTGACTTCCTTTCTGCGTTCATTCATAAATTGCTTTTTAAGTAGCAAGGAACACTAAGTTTCATGTGATCTATTTGCTCTTAGTCATGAAATACGAAAGTCAGGACCATCGTACTATTCGAAACGAAGAAATCGATTTTTCATATTTTCATTGTTATGATCAGTTTTAGGCATCTATGTCAAGACCATTCGGTGTTGCTATGCTGTTTGCTGGTATAGATCAAGATGGTCCAAAACTGTTCGTTTATCGTATTTTTAATCTTAATTTTCATACTAAGATTGCATTGTCACGAATCCAAGTTGGTACGCTCTAAGATTCTGCTTTTTGTGCACATTAAAATAAAATCCACATCATAATTTCAGCTTCCACTTAGATCCTTCGGGCACTTTTATCGATTGCTTAGCGAAATCAATTGGAGCAGCCTCAGATGGAGCGGAGCAGAGTTTAAAAGAACAGTATCATGAAGTAACTTTCTTAACTTTGCATCCACACGCATTTCATTTATCTTGCTTCTTTATACACTATATAATTCACAAGTTCATTGTATTGCAAATTTGTATAGTATTTTTGTCATTATATTAAGTTCACTTCTTTATTAAAATTAGTCCAGTTACAGTCGATGACGCTGTTAGAAGCAGAAAAAATTGCTTTGGCGATTTTGAAACAAATAATGGAAGAAAAGCTCACAAGTTCTAATGTTGAAATAGTTGCAGTTGTGCCAGTCAAAGATAGCAAAGGTTGTTTTTGTGTGTTTATCGATCCGAGCTTATTTAGTGATTATTAATTTGAAGATATTAGATGGTTTCCTGATAAAATCTCTCAAAATTTTCAGGCCGTCTGACTGGAAAATTCGAACGGTTGACTAAAGAGCGGTTGGATGTATTAGTTTCGGAGTTATGAATATAATGGAAATAACTTCTAATAGTTATTTTCTTGTCAGTTATTTGCTGTCAAGGCTTTTGGATTTGATAGGAAGTATGTGATCAAATAAAGAAATAATTTGTTCTGAAAAACATTTTTACAAGATTTAAATTTCCAATCGTTTATTATAATTCAGGATTAATTTATATTTTATAATGCCAATACTTCCTTATAAATCATTTTATCGTTATAAATTTTGAAATATCTAAAGCATATTTTGTACTATTTAGAGTATTCATTATGCAAATTATTATTGTGATTTCATCGAATTTATGGACGTACTATTTAATACTTATTTTGTTATTTAATTGTCTCTGTTAACTTCGGTATTTTATGTTATTTGTGGTGTTTTTATATCAGAGAGTTCTCATTTATGAAGTAAATGTTCATGACATTATTATTGTTTGTAATTAGCTAAAATGACGAGGTTAAGCCGTTATTTTTTTAATAATGTAAATTTGATGAACGTCTATATTTCCTTTGCTGTGAAACAGGATAGATTTGATGAGATTTTACTTTATTTTTATAGAAATTAACATTTTCAATATTGAATTACGGAAGCATAACGCTCGAAAGCTTGCATCCGTTCATTTCATTGTAATTGCTCACATATTCTGTAAGTTTGGCTTTAACTAAACGAGATCTCTTCCTGTCAGGTTTTTGTAAATTTATTGAGTTGTGAGGTGAAAATTCATAGTTAGTAATAAGATTGCTCACTCTGCATACTTTTTTCAAGAAGTTGTACTCTTTTTCCTCGGATGGAATCTCGAAATCAAGTCAAGTGCATGTTATTACTTATTGAATAAATTTAACTATAATAGTTGGTGGGAAGGACTGTAGTTCAGGCAATGGATTGAAAGAAATGGAAGTAGATGTATTTTTTCTTTCCATAATTCAATGAAGTCATACGTATTGAACGTTAGTATTTAAGTTAATTTCGTGTGCAATATACGTTCACTAGTGTTTCTGTATGTTGAGAGCAATGCAAGTGGTACTGTTTGTAATACTTAAAAGTTTTGTTTATTAATATGGATAGAAATCAACTGGATAATCTGGCTGACCTAATTTTAGAAAAGATTTGAGTAGTTTTACTGAATTTCCAAAGGCGCTAACTAGATGATATGTGTGACCAATAAATGAATCATTCATCTGATGGAGTACTGCATCAATGTTCACCATTCATTATGTATTTATCTGATATCGTCCATTAAGAAGAATAGGTCATTGCAGTCATTGTAATCTGGTGGAGGTGAGTAGTCTGTTGGTTCATCATCCAAAAGGTTCTGGAATTGACTGAAGTTCATTCATTCTGATAGAGTTTGGCGTTTAATTGAAAAGTCAAGCTACAAGGCATATTTTTGAGATTAGATTTATGGAATATAGTTGGATATACTGTAAAAAAATAAAATCGAGAACCACTTTTAACCAGTCAACTGTTGATTGGTTAAAAGTTGTTTACAGTTTTATTCTAAACTATGGATGACCTGAAGTCGTACGCATAATTAAAAAATTATGATAATTAATCAATCTTCATTTGAACATACTTCAGTTTTAGTTTCTTTTATTACTTCTTAGTTTTGTCTTTTCAAAAATTATTATTTTCATAAGCTGTAAATGGGATCTTACATGGCAGGGTGAAGTGAGTGTTTTGTACAAAGTTATGCTTGATAAGGATCTCTTAAAGGTTGCATCTAGATCAGTTTGCGTACTTGAATCCATTTTAGACTTATCTCTGTTCATCTTGCTATCTTCAGTAATATTTAATACTGATTTTGATGAACTGGTACACTGAAAAAATTTACATTTGCTGTATTTGTAAAATATTGTTCCAATGTTAAAAATCACTGATTAGTTCTGTTTTAGTAAGTTTTTGAAGTCTTAGTATTCCGAATGAATACAGTATATACAAGAAGTAGTAGTGGGAACCTGTAACGATATTTCTGCAGGATTTTCTAATATAGGTGATGAAGTCGAAGTAACAGGTTCATCTAATTTGACGCATACTTCATCAAATATTTCGCCGAGTAAGTTGTTTGTATTTTCATGTCTTGTCAAAGCCCGTACAATTTGTAGATTCTCAGTCATTATTCCAGCTAACGCCTACAGTGTTTAATTTTTTGCACTTACTGTAAAATGGTACTTTTGTCAGAAATTATGCAAAAAAAAAAAAATGTAGCACCCTTATGTTTCATTGTGTTTAAAGAAGGAAATGTTATTTTGCGCAAAAAACGTAATAAACCATGATTGTGGGTAACAGTAGAAGCAGATTGCCAAATCGAGCAATAGCTGTGTGAATGGGATGTAACTCCTTAACAACTTGAAAGAACATTTCTTGTACGCGATCTCGAAGATCAGAAACAACCTGTTGCGTGGATCTTGATAAACCTTTTGCATCTGCAAATAAAAGGTAGGATTATTCAAATGCTGTAAAAGAAAGTAATTGATTCAACAATTCAGTTACTCAAATCAGAACATGGGGCGAAAAAATACTTGGATTCAAAATAATGACTGCTTTGAGTGGTACTACTTCTTCATCTTTTATATTCAACTTCCTCAACGGGGCCACCAATTCGTTCAATGTCCGATCAACCAAGTCTTCAGATAAGTGACTAAAATTAGTTTCGTTAATCATTCGTGACAGCTATTTCCTCACAAATCATTATAACGGCTCTTTAAACAATAAATGGTTGTGATGTAAACAAGATATATAATAGCATGAAAATTATTAAAGAATTAGGAATCAGTAAAGCTATCACTTTGCTTGGTTGCATCCGCTTGGCAGTTTTCTAGGAACATATGAGAAATTGCAAAGGCATAGTATTTCAGTGTTACTAGTATTTTGAGCAGTTCTTGCAGAGAAATTGAATATTGTTAGAGATGAGTAGCATGACTTAACAAGAGCCACCTGCAAAAATTCTAATTGTTATTTCATTCGCCTTAAAAATGTGCTCTGATGCATGTTATTTTCAGAATGCAACTTGTTTATTTGTAAAATAATTAGTCAAAATTAATCGTTGTATCATGACCTAGTAATTCAGCAAATACTTTATTTCTAATAATTTAGATTAGAAAAGTTGAATTATATCATCAACTGGCTGGTTATGGTAGTATTCGTACCTTGTCATCTGTATTTGTAATACCGGCTAATTCAGCTAAAGAATGAACCCAGTCAACTGCAGCAACCGCTTTCCCATGAGCAATTTGAGGTAGTTCATCAACTTGAACCATCCTATGCGGTTCGTATCGCATCTTCATTTTTTACAAACATTTATGTGCTTGATGTAGTTATATGCCACTACGCATTATAATATGTAAGAGTGCATGAAAGATCGAAATAGCTAATTAATTAGTTTATTTTGCATGCATTAATGTATGGTTGGTATCATGGCGTGTTTACAATTAAAAATTTAGCAGTTTGGTAATGCATACTTCAGTTTGTCGACTATTAAAAATTGGCCTTTTTTCGAATAACTCGCGAAGAGACGTAGTTTTGGCTGCGTTCTTCGAAACATTTCCAACAACTGATGATGCTTCTTCTCGCTGTGCAACTTTTGACTCGATATTCATCAGCTGCATTAATAATACACGTGACTCAACAGGTAGCTTCCGTGACCAATCATCATCTTGCAATCGCATCTTGAAATAATTATAACTGAAGTATTACAAAAACCTGAAAAGATATGCTGAATGATTCAAAACTTGAAGACAATTAATTGTTCTATATATTTAGGAGCAGAGCCAAAAATTACGGATATGCTTTGTGCAAGTTTCACGCGGTTATCAACTGCAAATACTTTTTTTTTAAAATATTGTACTGACAAGGAATTTACCAATTTAGTTTGCTTTCTAAGAGGAATATCCCGAAGCAATATATTGAGTGGTAGCAGAAGTGACGTGAACTTCTTGTTAAATAGTGTTAGATGCAAATAATTTTATGTCCTCGATGAATAAGAAAATTAAGTAATTCGAATTATAATACATGGGAAGTAAATGTTTCTTGCTTACCACATGGTTCAGTAATTCTTCATCAATCTGTCGTTTACGTAAACGTGGAACTCGTTGTCTGCCGGTTAGATCACGATCGGGTCTTACAGCTACAGCATTTTAGGAGTGCAAAATAATAGTTTTTTTGACTATAGATTATATTTATTGTGTGATAATTACTCAATTTACCATACTAAAAATTTTATCCATTTTAGTTGTTGAGATAGTATCCAGTACCAACTGATAGCTACTGAAGAATGTTGTGCCAAAATCTTAACAAAAGACACTACCTTTAGGATCCATCCCAACTTCTAAGCATCGTTGAAAGCGACAATAACGGCAACTATTCCGCTGATCTGGATAAAAATCTATTGTCAGCTAGTATATTGCATAATTTGTTTGTTTTAACAGTAAGTAAAGTAAGAATTCTATGCAATCATTCTGGTAAATTCAACAAATGGATTAATGCTCAAAAATTTTGTAAGACAGTCAGTCACTTTGTTGAATGGGAAATGTTAGTAACTCTCTGAAATTTAAATTCTTAAACTCAAAAACAATAGATGTATTATCTGAAATTGAACAAATTTTTCTCTGAAAATCACAAATATTTGGAATAAATGCAAATTAAGGGTTGCTTTCATGCTTAGAATGCTTTTTCATTTTCCTTTTACTGTTGTAATATTGAAGAAGAACACAGAAGTTATTTTCAAAAATTTCTTCAAAGATGAAATAAACCCCAAAAAAATTGCACCACAATAAAGAAGATGATTAGACTTTTAAAGGTAAAGCTGCTTGAAATCATTTCATCTTGTAAGTAAGATATAGAATTTCATGTATATGTGGTGGATTCTCTGTTTATCAGATATATAAAGCGTAATTCAAATAACTCGACATTACAGTTTTTACGCAAAGACGCTATGCCTTAAAAATAGACTGAAATAGTTTAAGAGAGCTCTTTTTTGGTCGGAAAGACGTTTTGCGCGCTCGATTGATTATACATAAAAAAAATGAAGTAATGTCTAGTTTATTGTCGGATTTAGCGCAGTTCTTTATATTAGATTCTTTCATTGATCATGAAAAGTCTTGTAGAATTACAAAAACGGAATTGCTATAAGAATAACTAAGAAATATACTGGCAATATCTTTAAATAACTCGTATTATTTGCTAAATTATTTAATAGTAATATCATCATAATTAACAGAAGATTACATTTATCAACAATGCAGTTATTGCCAAATCTGCAAACATATCGGTATTTTCCAGTAAGTGTTCTTCGAAAAAATCCTTTGCAACCGTAACAGGCCAAGATACCATAATGTAATTTTGCGTGTCCATCACCACATACTGCGCAAACAGCGGAACCACTATCTATATCTCAATCATTAGATTAAATTGTTATTCTAAAAAATACTATGAGTATGAAATTTATTACTAGAAAATATAACCGAAGATTTGTTGATAATAATTTGATAAAAACAAATACCAGAAGGCTTGTCCTTAATGTTATAGAATGGATATGCATTGGCAGTGCTAGCCGCAAACATTACTTCTTTAATCATTGGCATTCTAAAATAATAATTTGCATATTTTTTTTGCCCACAAAATGATTCGCAGCTGTTTAAGAATTTTGAAAAGCTCACTTATACTGCACAGAATTATTGTACAAATGCTTTAATTAAAATTACTCATATTGAAACTTAATATATTCGAAAAATTTTTCATTAAAATACATGGAAATGGAAAGAGAGCTGCATAGAGAGAAAATATTTGTCATAACTTACAATAATTTTCGCATATTAACTTGAAATAATTACACTTTTGGTTCAAATAAATGACAGAATGCCAAAATCTTAAAGTAATAAATTACATCAGCGATCTACTAGTGAATTTATTTGTTCGATAAGTTTTGTATCATACTAGTAAAAAGCTTAGATTCAAAAATAACTTCTTGAAGTTTCAAATAACACGTCTGATAGACGTTTATGATAGTATGACAGTATGACACTGGAGTAGTACAGGAGTAGTACAGTTAGATCATTTTCAAACAGCTGTAACAAGTAATCGTAAAGGTCGATGGGTTTTACCGATTTTATAATGATGTTAATCTCACGATTATCATTACTTTACTTTAATGGCGTCTATTTTGTATTGTTAAAGTCACTGTGCGACCGGTAACAATAGCAATTTAATATTCATCACTTCGGGAACGAAATTTAAGACAAAAATTACTGAATAGCTTTATTTATTATACGCCAAATTTTGCTAATTTTGAAATATTTTTTCTTTTAAAAATTTTTATCTCAAAATCTGTTTCCAACAAACTTGCTAAACTGTTGGGAATCAAAGTTTTCAATTTTTGACTGAATTAGAAACTTAAAATCTACTTTGATATACGAAGAAATAGCATAATTAGTGAATCCTGAATCTTCTAATAAAAAAAAAATGTCATTGAGAATCTCCGGCAAAGTAAATGACATTAATCTATCCTTTGCTTTATAAAATCAAGCAAACAAAATAAGTTTTTTTTTTTACATTAAAATTAAAAAAGTAAAACAAAAAAAAAAAGCAGAAAAACGAAAAAATGAAAAGTTATGATACAAATTCAGTCATATAATAATATTTTTTTTAATCATTATAATCGTATTCTATTTGCTTGACTGCGTTCAAATAATTGAAATTTTTATCTTAGGCAAACGAAACTTAGATACAACCATATGAATTTATTATTTGGCTTACTTATCATGTGAAAATAAAAAGTTGAGCAATTCTAATTGTTTTTTACAGTAATGAAAAATCTAATAAGTAATTAAAATTGATAAAAAATAATATGAGTGAGGCGATTTTCATAAAATAATGAACTATAATGATGAATTAAAAAGTCTGTACAGTAAGGGAAGAATTTTGTTTAATAGGTCATCTTAGAACTCATAGATATTTAAGAATAGAAGAAAACTAAAAATAGTAATTTCCCTCTCATTTCTACTAATACTGTTCAAGTTAATCATATTATTTAAATTTTTCTGATAAATTCGTTCCATAAATTATGCTTATGTAATTCACGCACTCCATTTTTTGAATGAGATAAAAATTATAAAAGCTTGGATTTAGTAAAATACCAATACTAAATATAATGGCGTTGATTAAGTATCAAGACTGAATATTTTCAGAATAGAACAAATGATAAAAAATTGAATGAATACGAAACGTTGAGGAAAAAAATTGAATTTGTGAATATTTTTCTTCCTTCTGATTTCTTGTTCTTATTTGCATAAATCATTTTATGCATTTGCTAAAGTAAGGTTTAGAGCATCATTAAATGTTGACTGTGTAGACAGGTTTAATATTTGATATTGATAAAAGTAGCAATGCAAAGTTGAAAGAGCAAGAAGCACATGAAAACGCGTATCATTATTTATTACATTCATTACAACGACAAGGTTTTATTCAACGAATTTTATGGGTTAGCTTTGTAAATATCACTATTTAGATTAGATTCCAATATCTAATTTCAGTAAAATTCATTTGGCATTGTACTGTAATGAAAACTCAAAAGGATTAATTTCATGCTTTTTTGATGAGTTATTTCTTTCAGAGCAAATGTGAAGAAAGTAGTAATAATACTTGCTCAGCATTTCTTGAAACATGCAAAAAATTATATTTCAGTTGTATTCAATCAAGTAAAAGTGGTAAAAAGCAAAGTAAGAAAAAAAACTACAAAAGATGTAAAATCACAATTTAGATTGTAAAATATGTCATTGTAAGTCAAACAACGTAAATAACATCTATAAATAATTTAAAATCATATTAAAAAAACTTTCATGTGAATGATAATAGAGAAGTTTGATCTTCAGTTTTCATCTTACATTAATATTTCATTTGTTGTTTTAATAAATATTAAGTACAGATTATTCAGAAATAATGCAAAAATGATTGCATTATTTATTTATTGTTTTAAGGTTTAATCGATAGTTATCATGAAAAATCGAGCATTAATAACTTATATTCGATACAAAAATGGAATATTAGTTATTAGCAACAGCAATTAATACCCAAGTCATCCGTGATGATTTATCAAATTCACTCATTTCAAATGTATATACACTTTAAAAGAAATAAATTTAAATTATGGATATTTTACCCATATTTTGAATTTGAAAATTAGTAAAGAAATTCTAGAAACTAATGTGTTTAAATTTATAAATAGAAGTAATAGCGAAAAATATTCAGTGACACATTAATACTCATTGTATTGATAAAAGATCGCTAATACTCATCGACAGTGTAAAAATTTTCTTCTATTTTAACACCTTCTTTCTTTTCATTTTGATCTTCTAATTACCCTAATTCAACTAATTAATTTGCAGTGTACCATAGAAACTATATGTATATATTTTAAATGATTAATGCTGGATTTTATTGCTTTCAATATGTGATTATTTTAAAAAATTTTAATGCAAAAGTCTCATCATTTGTAAAAATTTTCTCCTACCTAGCAACTTTGAAGTATCGTTTGGTTGTTTCTGAAGCATTATTTGAATAGTTAAATTCTGGAAATTCTTCTTCCTCATAACCTTCACCAAAGTTATAATCCATTTCTTATTTTTGAAGCTGCAACTCTGTGACTTCCATCGACAATATAATCTTTTTTCATATAATTCTGAAAAATACATTAGAATGCTTCTGAATACCAAAATAAATATGCTTAATTTGGTAAATTTGACTGGTAACAAAATAATTTCATTACAATGTGTGCAAATAACTAAACCGCATTTAAAAATTTTTAAGTTGTAAATAAAAAATTTATCTCAAATAACAAATCAAAACCATATGCATTATCAGTATGTAATATTTATAAAACAAACATAAATGAGCAGATAAAAAGTAAATGCTGATTTTAAAAAATACTTTAATTTATACACAGTAATAAAATGAAATCTTTTTATGTTTACTTGCTAACATCTGTCATTTTTGTAACTTTTCACCTTTTGTATGACTAGAAGCTTACAGAAGCTTTAACTTTTTATTGATTTTCAAAAATGCTCGAGGATTAATTATTATTGTACAAACAAGAAATATTGTTTAATTTAGAAACTTAAACACTAAAATTTAAACTTCTCGAGATCAAAAATTTATAACAAACAAAACTGCTTCAAAGTTCCTCAATAATAATTGAATGACTAAAAAAGCAAAGATAAGAATGCAAAAAACTTGCAAACAAATTTGTTGTTGCTTGTCAAAAATAATTAATGTTAGATAATGATTAGGAAGCCCAGAATACGTAATCAGCTAGCTACTGAGTACTATCACTTTATCAAGTAAGTGAAAAAGAGTAAAATTAAATATTTATTTCGTACTGAAATATCATTCACTCCTGCTAAATAATATTATATTAGTAGACAGAAATTCATATATATTAGTTTGAAAGTAATACGCTTGCTTAAATGTCTTGTTTGCTCGTGTCCATCGTCTGCATATAAGTGATAATTATGTATATATATTTATGTATGCGTATGTGCGTGTGTACGTGATAAAACTTGCCAACTGCATGACTATCATTCAAAACGGTAAATACTATCATTATTTCACAAGAGGAATGCATCAATTGCTACTGATATGATAAAATATGTCATTGATAACAGTCGTTGCTATAATGAACCAAGTGATGTAGTATCAGCGTATACTATCCAGAAACACTGTCATACTGGCTCCTCTAATTAATCGTTCAACAATGAATTATTTGTGAATAATTTTTTAGTGCATGAAAATTGTTGGTCAGTTAATTTCTGATTATTTTTATGTACTTATAATCAGTCCTTACCATTCAGTACTTACTTTTATCTATTGTTTTGTAAGCAGTGAGACTTAAATTTAATACTTGTATTTATCTTTTTACAACTAACCGTCTTACAAAATCTACTAATTACATTAAAAAGTTTACATTTTGATCATTATTTGAGCACTCCCAACTTGAATATTTGCGAACAGTACTTTACAATTATTTTACTCATAACTCATAATATTTATCAAATTGAAAAAATCATCTAATAATCACGCTAAAAAAAGACAGAATTAAAAAATTTTGACATGAAATACACAATAATGTGCTACTTTTATGAATAATCCTGACAAAAACATTGAAAAATTGAGCTTCTCTCAACAATCACAAAATGGCAAAGTAGACATGCAGCACAAATGATGGAGTTTACAAAAATAACAATGTATATTTTTTATTCAGGTTATTTGAATCAATATCTGCATTTAATCAACATTTATTCTTACCAAGACTTTAATAAAAAAATAAAATACAGAAATTTAATAATGGAACAGTAAATGGAAATGATGTCAACTTCCTTAAATTTAAATAATAATTCACATCAAAACTAAATTTTTCAATAATACTTACATATGAAGATGATTAAAGCTTCAAAATATATCAAAATATCATAGTATAAACTACTTTCAATCATGTTGAGCATGACATGTTCATTTGACATCAAGCCTTCACATTTAAATTTTACAAAGTAAATATGAGATTGTAGTTAGCAGTTGCAGAAAAACAGGAATA